TGTTAGTTTACCTTTGTTTTCTCAACTTGTAAATGTACCTTTTACTACAGTGTTTATCTTTGTTTGCTGTACTTTGAACCTAAGGCTAGAGGGGGGTCCTCTGAGCTCTTTAAGTTTGATTACCCTGTAAAGTTATTTTCCATCCTGATTTTACAGAGATGATTTTTACCTTTTTCTTTAATTAAAAGCCTTCTTTTTAAGAACCTGATTGATTTTTCCTTGTTTTTAGATCCAAGGGGGTTGGATCTTGATCCACCAGGAGTTGGTGGGAGGAAGGAGGGGGGATGGTTAATTTCTCCTTGTTTTAAGATCCAAGGGGGTTTGGATCTGTATTCACCAGGGAATTGGTGAAGAGTTTCTCAAGGCTTCCCAGGGAAGGGAATTAGCTTTGGGAATGGTGGCAGCGGACCAGATCTAAGCTGGTAGTTAAGCTTAGAAGTTTTCATGCAGGCCCCCACATTTGTACCCTAAAGTTCAGAGTGGGGAAGCAGCCTTGACAGTAGGAAAGAAACTCTTAATGAAAGGAGGGAAGTGTCCTGACATTAATTAAGGAAAATGCCACAAGCAGGATTCAGAATTATAAAATTGTGAGCAGGACGCCCACCCCAGTGACCGTGGGGCAGTGTCTCCTGCCTCACGTTCCTGAGTTCTACAACCAGAAGTTCCTTTACTGTGCCTCTCTCTGCTCCCTCACCACACCCCACTCACAGTGGTTGTCCTTGGTCAGTGAGGACCCAGGATTCACAGGTGCATCTGTGTGAGTTCACCTCCCACCCGGGGAAAAAGGCACCTTGCTTGCTCTGCCATCTGAGCACTTGCTCTCTCTGGCTGCCCCACCAGCCGCCATTCTGCTGCCTCCCCTGCCATACAGCTTTCCACTCTGCTGGCTGCCTCAACAGTTCCCACCATCCACCTTCACTGACTGCTTGCTCGCCGCTCCCACCAGCCACCTGCTCACCGGTCACCTTCTGCTGCCCCTTGCCTCTCTGCTGTGACCTCTGCTGCTCAGTTTCTTGAGGTTCTACCCAACACTTAGTGATTGTCAGTTCTTAATGGAGGAACCTGAAGCAAGCTGGGCAGAAACGCTGTCCCACCATAAGTGATTTCAACTCTAGTGAGCACTTAACAAAACAAAAGACTCCTAATGTAGCCTATTTAGCTCTAGCTTTGAAGAGTGGGGAGGAACAGGTTAAATCAGACCAGGGACCCTTAGGCAGAAGCCACATCTCCTGGCACGGACCCTGTCCCCACCCCTTCTGACTTTCACAGGGGTCTGGCATTAGAGCCTCTGGCTTAGCGAGTTCCTTTGAGCTGAGGGTGACCCCTTCAATCAGGACAGGCTAAGCACAGTTCTGCTCCCTTTCCTCATACAATAAAGATAACAACATTTCACTACCCCTGCATTCATTACTAAAGTGATTTGAAACCCAACACCAGCCAAAATTGGTCACTTTGAGCAACACAGCTTCTGTCTGCCGGATACGTAGGCAGAGTAGGTGTGTTCATGTACATACACTTTGCTCCTGAAATCTCACCCCCGCAGCTAGCTGTCAGGGGTGAGCTCATTCAGACCCTCCTTACACAGGTATCAAAGTTAGGCTGATTGGTCTATAATTCCCTGGGTCCTCTTTAAAGATAAGTACTATGTTCGCTCTTCTCCAGTCCTCTGGGACCTCACCTGCCCTCCAGAGGTTCTTGAAGATAATTGCTAACGGTTCTGAGATTGCTTCAGCTAGTTCCTTAAGTACCCTAGGAGGAATTTCATCAGGCGCTGCTAAGTTGAATACATCTAACTTCTCTAGATATTTTTTATCCTGTTCTTACCCTATTTTGGCTTGTGTTCCTTCCTCCTTGCTAATATTAATTGCATAGAGTATCTGGTCTAGTGGTTACAGCAGGGGGCTAGGAGCCTGGGTTCTATTCCTGGCTCTGCTGTGTCATTACCCCTCTGCTGCTGCACAGTCATAGCTCCCAGCGGTAGTGTGTCACAGAGCCTGCCACATCCCCTTCACATGAAACCCTCCCGCTACGGTTGGGGTTATCGTGGCCGAGGGCTGGTCTGCCCAGCCCCAGTCTGCTCTCGGCTGGGCCACTGTGAGAAAGATCAAAGGGCCATGTTCTCACCCGCCACTGAGATCAGTCAATGTCAGCCACAGACGCCACAGAGACACAGGCAGGGAGCTGAGCGAGGGTGGGTCCAGGTGAGCAAGAGCCCCAGATATGCCCAGCTGTGAGCCAGCACCCAGAGAAGCCCTGGATCCTGATAGACCCGTCCCCATGGGGGTCTTCTCCGTCCAGTGGTGCATCATCCATTCAGCTGTGCTGGGACCCAGCTGCTGGGTTGATGCAAGGCCTGTCCCCCCCCAGCCCATGTGGTTGGTGTGGCTGGAAACTGAGACTCATGAGCCCCACATTCAGATGAGTGTGTGGCCGACCCTGAGGTTTCCTCCCTTCCATCTTCCCCCAGCTGAATCTATAAAGCCCCCAGGCCTGAGGCAAATGCACCATCCCTGCACTGACTCTGAACATGCAGCTCCAGATCTTGCTTCTGCTCCCCATGGCCTTTCTCCTGCCCGCCGGGGCTCAGGCTGGTGAGTACAGCTGGGATCGGGCCCCCTGGGGCTTTGGGGGCAAATGGGGGGTCTGAGGAATGGGGGAGCTGTGGTTGGTGTCTAGGGACCCACTGGAGTGAATGGGCCCGGGGTGGGTGGTGGTGTTCTCAACATCTGGATCAAGGCAGAGCTGGACAGCAGCTGCTGGGTCTGCATCCAATGGACCTCAGTCCTGATGGGTGCCAGGAGAGGGCTGGGCAGCTGGGCCAGCTGGGGAGTGGGGTTGCCAGCACTGGGGGTGACAAAGCTGCTTCTGCTGGGGTGTTCCATCAGTGCCTGCTCTAATCCGTCACCTCATCTCTCCCCGGGGTTGCAGGGGAGATTATCGGGGGTCGGGTAGCTAAGCCGCATTCCCGCCCCTACATGGCCTACCTCAAGAGAAAAACCTGCAAGGGTGAAGAGCCGTGTGGGGGGTTCCTGGTGCGGAAGGATTTTGTGCTGACAGCCGCCCACTGCGTCGATGGGTAAGAACCTGTCTCTGCGCTCCAGTGTCTCCCTGAACCCAGTACCCAGCTGTGCAGGGATCCAACTGTGCAGGGATCCAGCTGTGCAGCACCCTGAGATGTTCAGGGATTTAGCAGTGCAGCACCCCCAGCTGTGCAGAGATCCAGCCATTCAGCAACCATTGGGCTGTGCAGGGCTCCTTTTGTGCAGGGATCCAGCTGGGCAGCCCCCCCCCCCCCCCCGTTACTTTAATGTTTTTCTGTGTGAAAGGCAAACAGAAGACTAACGAGCTTCAGACCAATAACTGGATCATTCATATTCATAATTTAACACATTACAATTCATTTAATTTGTTTGATATCAGTTAAGTCGTTATTTAGTATCTGCATCATGGTGGCATTTGGAGGCAGGTCTCTGGCCTGTGTTCTCCAGGGGGCCAGACTAGACAATCGCATGGTCCCTCCTGGCCTTGGAATGTAGGAAACTTAAGGAGCTGACCGAGATCAGGGCCCCCATTGTGCTGGGCGCTGCACAGACCCCACCCCAAATCAGAGCTCCATTGTGCCAGGCGCTGCACAGACCCCGACCGAGATGGGTGACCTAAGAGTAAGAGAAAGAGTCAGATTACAATTGTTATGGGGGAGCAACCCCATACTGAGCCCCCGCCCCACTCCCTGCAGCAGGGCACCCCCACTGAGCCCCCTGTCCTACCCACTGCAGCACGGCGCTCCCTCACACCACGCAGGGGTTAGCACTGCCTCCGAGCACCTCCAGTTTTCGCCCAATCTCCATCTGGCTTCCAGGGACATCACCGTGCTCCTTGGAGCCCACAATGTCCATCGGGACGAGGAGACCCAGCAACGAGTCTCTGTGCGGCGGAAGATTCCCCATCCCGGATACAATAAGACAAGCATTGAGAATGACCTGATGCTGCTGCAGGTACCTGCCCCCGCAGCTCCCAGCGCCCACCCTGGCCTGGCTCCCATCCGGGCAGTGCGCTGACCCCTCTGCCCCCCCCCCCCATTGCAGCTGGCGGAGCCTGTGGAGCTGACCGATGCCGTGCGCACCATCCCGCTGCCCCAGGCTGGCCGCACCATGGAACCAGGGTCCGTGTGCAGCGTGGCAGGATGGGGCAGGACCAGCCTCGACACTATGCTAACCAGCAACATCCTCCACGAGGTGGAGTTAGAGGTGATGTCAGACGAGACCTGCCAGGAGGACAGGCTGCTCCAACGCTACTATAAGCCCTCGTGGATGATGTGTGTGGGGGACCCTGACGAGGACAAGGCCTCGTTCTCGGTAAACGCCCAGTCCCTGGGGGGCAGCTGGGCTGGGAGCTTCCCCAGGAGGCCAAGGGAGTTAGCGGATAAGTTAGGGTGACCTTCAATGGGCAATACTGGGACTGGGATCTGTCTGTCTGTCCATCCCCATAATCTATCTATCTATCTATCTATCTATCTATCTATCTATCTATCTATCTATCCCCATCCACCCCCCTATCTATCTATCTATCTATCTATCTATCTATCTATCTATCTATCTA